CCTCGGTATAAACCCCAACCAACTTAGTGGGGGGGGGGGGAGGGAAAATATCGTAAAATCTAAAGAAAGTACCATAAATTTAGTCATGATCTGAGAAGAGGAAAATTGACACCTCAAATTCCAAAATTGAAAAATCATAATCTTCATCATTCAAGCTTTTATCTCGACTATTTGAGATCGGTTACACAAATCTTGTTTTGCTATTCCACTCCATCAAATGTCATGTCGTCGGTTAGACTACGAGTCACCATATTTTTTCTCATTATTTCTCACTACTTTTATTCATGTCCTTTTAGGCCTTGCCCTTGCCATCGCCATCTCAGAGGCTTACATTCAAATTAAATCGTCACTCCTAACTGGTATTATTTTGGGTCGATACTACACATGATCAGACAACCAAGTCTATTTCATCTTATTGTCTATTGTAGCACCCCTTAAGTTCTCTCAAATGTACTCATTTTGAATTATATCACTTATTATCTTGCCACCATCCATCTCATCTGCCTTGTTTCAGCTGCACTCATAATGTGTTTATGTTGTTTCTTGACTGCTCAACATTTTTTATCTCACAAAGTATGGCTGGTCTTATAATAATTATACAAAACTTCCATTCAGTTTCGTTCGTATGCAATGATCATATAAAACTGCAAAGGTAAACCTCCACTTCGTCTGCCCAACTTCAATTTTATTTGTTGTATATTCATTAATCTCTCAATTCTTATGGATTATCGACCTAATATATTAGAAATAATTATTTTGGGTACTTGTTGGCCATCAATTTTAACCAAATATTTGTTTTTATTCTTATTTTTATTAAACATGCATTGGGTGTATTATTTTGCAGTCAAGCTAATATTAAAATATTTAGATTCCAGAGCACCCCTCGAAAGTTTTAACATTATGTTGACATTGTCTCTAGTCTCTTTAATCAACACTATATCATCTATAAACAACATGCCCCACAATAAGTCATATTGTAGGTGACTAATTAGCTCATTTATAAATTATAAATTTCAAAATTCATAAACCATAGCCTTGGTTCCATATGCACCAAATTCTCTATTCAAACTCCTAATCTCCAAGTACGAAAACCATAAATCCTTAAATAACCAACCACTAAATCAACAGATAAAAAAAAAACAATCAAGGGAGAGAGGGTAACAATAATAACACAAGTTCAATGGGGAGATCCTCGAGCATCAAGATGAAATTTGTAATTTATAGACGAGCTAATTAGGCAAAACCATTAAATTATAAATTTTTTGAAGAATTCCACATATGAATGATGTATAATAAGATAATCCACTTTGTGTGGAAGGACGTTACAATCCTTCTTAGCCAGTGGACGTGAAATCTGACAGTTGGAAGTGTATCACAGCCGTTGATAAATTTTATTTTGGACTTTATGCCTAATCAATGACAAATCCCCAATCACTTTATTTTTAATGATTATGATATTTTATTATAAAAAATAAATGATTTTATTGTATACATTTCGTTCAATATATTGATTGCTAACCCAAAACCTTCTCGCAAAGGAAAGACTTTCCATGATCTTAATTTCCCTACAGTTCCTCTACATTACTGTGGTTGTCACTATTCAACAGGAAGTGGTGATCTAGCATCATTTTCTCGAAGTTAATAAACCCGTTCATGAGTACTAAAATTGGACAACTTTGATAATCTAAAAGGGAGTTTGCAGTAAAATAGGCATTTGTACATTAACTATCTATACAATGATAAGCACAAAAAAAAAAAAATCTCTATTATTTAAATTTTCAAAAAATATACATCATTTTTTAAAAATTGATGCTCATAAACATTTTTTATAAAATTGTAATGCCCAAAATAACCCCTTACAAACTGAATTGGTCCATAGGGATCTATTAGGTATGCAATGGTTAGAATTGCTTCATGGAACACCAGGAAGCACCCATGTGGATGTTTTAGATCCTTGCATCTATAAAGGGACTTTACAGACTTATTACGTTCGTAAAGCCCCAAGCACTAATTTTTGTGCTTCTAGAATTTTAGGAAAAACACAATTGGGTGTTTCTTGGAACTTTAAGAAGCACACAAGTGAGTGCTTCATACCTTTGTGGACCTAATACATAATTAAAGAGGTTTGTGGACCTCATAGGTCTCTAAAAGGTCATTTTTGGTATTAAAAATGATTAAGAATAAGTATGGATGTAAAATAAAGGTATTTTTAGAAATTAGAAATTTGTAAAAATTTTAATTTTTTTCTAAAATGCCCAGACTCTCGATTTTGAGAATCCGAAGTTTTCAACCTTATTTCATTTCACAACATTTTATGCTTATTATACGCCTTAAAAAAAAAAACAAATTAAATCTTCATAAATCTAGAGTTTTTAATTGACAAAAAATTGCACATCTTAAAATTTTGCCTTAAAAAATAATAAAAAAATGAAACTTCAATTTCTCAAATTTCAAAGTTTTTAATTGATAAAAAGGCTAAAAAAAGGATGGTCTGTCAAACTTCGGATTTTAAAAAGCTGAAGTTGTTACTAGAATTATGTGAAAGTACTTCAAAATTGGATTTGAAGTTGTTTTTGCATTTTCATTTAAAACAAAAAATTAGGTTTTTTTTAAATCCGAAGTTTTTAATTACAAAAGAAGAAAAAAAAATTGTGTACTTTCGATTGGCTAAACTTCGGATCCTTAAGATCCGAAGATTTACTGCCCTCCTTTGTTTGGCTCTCGGGCGTACCTGAGGGGCGTTGATAAACATCGGGTCTTCAAAATCCGGAGTACAAGTATTTTGTCCGTTTCTTCATTGAACATGGGTCAAAAAAGAAGCACTTTTTAAATAAGGGTAAATTACATGTATGTCCTTAAATAATTTCGGTTATTATAGAAGTCCACTCCAAAGTTCAAGTTTAAAATGTTCATACCCATTGTTTCCCTCTTCTTCTTGTTTTTTTTTGTTTTTGTTTTTGTTTTTGTTTTTTTTTTTCAAAAATTGCACTTTTTTTAGTATTTGTAATTTCCAAGATTAATTGGAATTTATGGATAATCTGGAAATTCATTTTCTCCTAAAGCAATATAAGGAGAATTTTCAAAAATTTAAACTCCAATTCTTTTAATTTGTATATTTTGAAAATCCCAAAATGCGCCTAATTTATTTCCCAAATATTTTTAGATTTAAAAACATCCAAAAGTTAAAGTGCAAAAAATCACGTAACTTAAAAAAATGATAAATTTATGAGTATTGAATATCTGATTTAGGGGTTGCTTTAGCCATTTTTAAAAGGGTGCAGTTTGTATAGAGCCGAGGCTCTAAACAATCAAATTAGAGCCTACCTTCCAAATAGTATTGATAAATGTGGTTTTACTATTGAAAATCTTTGTGATAGCCTTAAAACATATCTTCATATCTATTTATAAAGTTTAAAGCTTTAAAAATAGTGTAGATCAACATATCTATGAAAACTTTAAAATTGACAGTCAGAACATGCGTTACAAAATGCATTATTTCTAAAACTTGAATCCAATTTTTTCTGATGTCCATGTATCTTGATGTCGAGATGATTAATTTGAAGATATTTAGGCATCAAAACTACATCTTCTAATGAAATATTTGATGTAGGCTCAAATTTTATCGTTTAGAGCCTCGGCTCTATATAAAATTTTCCCTTTTAAAAATCACAAATAAAATAGGTGCAGTTTTATGGGTCGAGTCTTTGGGCAGTCAAGATAAAGCATACCCATAGGATGAGTGTGATTCAAATGAAGATGCAAAGAGGGATGAGTGGCAAGATAATAAGGAATATAATTTGCAGTGACTATATTTATGATAACTTAGGCGTGGCTCCAATGAGTAATAAGATGAGATAAAGTAGATGCATGTGAGTTGGCCATGTGTATCCCAGTATCACACATGTTTAGAAGTACAAGTTGATTCCAGTGGGAGGCTAAAAATAGTAGGGGATAGAGGGCAAAAAAGACATGACTATAAGTAGAGAGAAAATATATTGGGACTTATGACATTACTAAGGGTATGACCCTTGATAGAGCAAAATAACGAAGTAGTCGATCCTAAATAGTTAGAAAAAAACTTTGATGACAATGATGACAAAATAATAAAAAGTGTAATTTATATAAGGTTGCAACCTTAAACAATCAAAATAAGGTGCATCTCCAAAGGTGTCAGAATTTTGGCATGAGAATCCATTTTCACCTCTAATTATAAAATTTTAAACTAAAAAAAAAAGTTCAATAAAATTGATATATTAACACATGAAAATCTTGAAATTAGACTGCACAAATAATATGTTGCAGACAAGCTTTCTATGCTTCCTATATAACATAAAACTTATATACTTTCCCTTATCCAACCATCAATTCTGAATGGAGGACCAAGATTACCCTAATAACAATGTCACGTCTCTACACTATTTTATTTTTAATTTTTTTCTATAAATTATTTTGACACCAAATTTTGTACGTATAATCCTCTATTAAACTTGCACTAGAGAAAAATATAAAAAAAATATTTTCAATAAAATAAAATGACCAAAATACCTTTAAAAGTTTAAAAGGGTATTTTGATCATTATATTTTATCAAAAAATTAGTTTTAATATTTTTTATAGATGCGCCTCAATGAGAATATTTCACATACCAAATTTCATATTCATACAATTTGTATAAAAAAACTAAAAATAAAATACTTTGAAACGTCGGATCTAAGATCAAACGATAAGTGACTCTCTTGATCAAAATTGGACGGCTGGATGATAGGAAAAACATAAATCTTCTATACTGTAGGGGAAATATATCTTTATTGAACGATGCTTTTTGGGACTCAAAATCTTTTTTTTTTTAGGAGAGATTTTCAATTGCCAAATTGAATTTTTTTTATATTGGATTTTTCAGGTGAACCTCAAATCTACATTTTAAGGTTGCCCTATACGGACTCTTTCCAAATTTAAATGACGTGCCCTATACATGGGTTATTTTCTCTCAAACTATACGCTTTTTGGGAGAATACGCGTTTATAACTTGGGGAAAAAGTTATTGATATTCATTCATATTCACTGCTTCATCCCTGAAGTAAGAGAGAGCGGGAGAGAGAAAATCAGGTGTCATGTCGGTAAGTGCTCTTTCTCATCTCTCTTCCCCTTTCTCTCTCTAACTAATTTGAGTTTTGATCAACAACTGGAAGTCAGCATCTTCTAGTACAAGTTTGTATGAATAATGTTTTTTTTTATTTTTAAAATAATGTGTGTGTTGGTATTCCCAGCAAATTCTAGGGTTGCTTCTGAAACCTCATCGACATTGATCGCTCTTCTGATAGTGAATTTCTTTAGGATTTGCGGTTTTAATGTTTTTATTCTTTTGAGGCAATATCCGCCTCTGCTATGGTACTGTATTGTTACTTTCGGTGTATTTTTATGAAACTGAACTGATGTTGTTTGGGCAGTGTTTTAAAGCTTTAGGGTACTTATTCGCAGGATATATGCTGATTTTATAATTCTTAATGGATTTTATTTTCTTTCCCTTTATTTTCTGTAAATTTATGCAGATATTCGAGTATAATGGGAGTGCTTTGGTGGCAATGGTTGGAAAGAACTGTTTTGCCATTGCCAGTGATCGTCGTCTTGGTGTGCAGCTTCAAACCATAGCTACTGATTTCCAAAAGATCTACAAGATTCACGGCAGGCTTTTCATTGGCCTTGCTGGTCTAGCCACTGATGCCCAAACACTGTAAGATCTTTGATTTCGCTATTTTGTTGTTTTGGTTTTTGTTACTATTATTAAGGTTTGTATTGGCTATAGTTATTTCTTGTTGCCACTTGTCTTATTTGATTGGGTTTGTAAAAGTTCAGTTTGTTATCTCAATTGGTTGTCGCATGATATAATTGGTTTTCTTTTTAATTGAAAATATGAAAAATTGGTTGGCCAGAATTAAAAATAATTTTCTCTCAATTGGGCATGGCATGATATAATTTGTTTTCTCATCAAAGTGTCAAAAGTTGGTATTTTTTGTGTGTTTATATATGGTTTTTCCTTGGTGATATTTTCTAATTTTTGTTGGAATTTTTTTATGTTTTGGTGGTTTCATTAATTTAAATGACATAAGGAAGTTGGGTTTTTTGTCAAAGGTATCAAAGACTCATCTTCAGGCACAAGCTTTATCAGTTGAGAGAGGAGAGAGACATGAAGCCTGAAACTTTTGCCAGCCTGGTTTCTGCAATTCTTTACGAGAAAAGGTTTGCGATTGAACTTGTGAGCTGTCTATTTGGGGCACATGTTCTTTTCTGAATCTGATATCTGACTCACAGGAAAATAAAGAAGGAGAAAAGTGAGTTATTTGTTTGCTGTATATTATCTTGTATGCTATCAATGGATTATCAATGCGAAGCCATATCCTTGCCATTTCCCATTTAAAATGATATTTTGGGAATGGTCAATTTTTGTTACAAATACTTTGATGATTATTGGGTGGTTTTTACATTTGTGGTCACTTATGATGGGAAGCCCTAAACATCGATGATTGGTTGGTTGCACAGTTACCTTTTTGCAGCTGCTTCATAGAAATAAACTAAATTGGTATTTTGTTTTATTAGCACTAGAGTTCATATAAGGAGCCTTGGATTTGGAATTGTGAAGGCTGAAAACCTGTAGCTGTGGGGTCTAGCTCATGAAATAACATGACTCTGTGGAAATGAAGGGTTTTATTTTAATCTTTTCTCCAGGACTTATTGATGAGCATTCTTTTGTTACATTATTTTCTAGTTTATATATAATGTCACCTGTTTTTGTGTTCTTTAGAGCAACATCTGTATAATATTATTGTTGAGTCCATAAAGTGTTGGTAGCTAAAGGAATGTGAGGTGTTTGTTGTTTTTCCTAGGTTTGGCCCATATTTTTGCCAACCAGTAATTGCTGGATTAGGGAAGGATGACAAACCTTTCATTTGCACAATGGATTCAATCGGAGCCAAGTATGTGATTTTCTCTTCCCTGGCATTTCATGTATCATACTGCTGACTTTAGGATAACATGTTTCCTTGATTTGAAAATCACCATTCTACAGAGATGGAGTTGTAAACTTTACTACTCTATTGAGATGTTTGTCTGAAGTTTTTGGTGCTTAGTTGAATTTGATACTTGTGTCTTTCTGATTCACAAGAGAATATAGTTTTTTGTGCATTTTTTCATATTTGTGATTCAAAGTGGAGGACAAATCAACTTTGAATCTCCCTGTATATATGTGCTCTGTAAAATGGCTTTAGTTGAACTTTGCTGATTGTTTTTCTTTCCTTACTGTTTTCTAATATAATTTTAAGGATTATACATGAATGCTATCACCTTTTCCTAATGGCGATATTTATATTGATACTTTGTTGTGTTTGAAATGTTTAAATCAGCTTGTTCACAAACTATATATTGTTCTTATAGTTCACACCTAATACTGATAGTTTTCTTCCAGCAGAGAATGCTAGATATAATTTTATTTTCATAACCTATTTTTATATGCAAGATGCTTGTAAGCCTTAAACAAGCACTAGCAGTATCATCTCCAGTGATACCGAGATTATGTGCAAATTCCAGGATTAAGTCCTGGAATAAAATCACAACACAAACAGGAAAGAGAAAAATCTGAAACTATCACTTCCATTTTTATGCTAACAGGTTTTCCAAATCTTTCACTTTAATTCTTTTGTGATTACGTTTAATTGAATCAATTAGACAACAGATTGTATCATGCTCAAGGCTCAGCTTTTGAGTGATAGATTGTGATCATGGGGTCTCGAGATTGCTGATGATATGAATCGATCTTTTGCCTTCTTTTTCTGGATTTTTCTTAAATTGTGTTTGTATTCCATAGTTGATTTGCAATGACTGTCGTTAAGCATTGGAGTATTTTTCTACTGATCCTATTGGGTGGTCAGATTGGTTACTAACTTACCATCTAGGTATCCCTGGGAAGCATCCCTATGGTCGACCTGATTTGTCGGACATTGGGAGAGCATTTGGCAAAAGTGCATTAATTGATTAGTGGCAGCAATCACAATGTCAAGTTTTTGTGCTAAAGAAGCCAAGGAGCTTGTGGGGGATTAATGCAATGATACTCACATCGTCTCATCCCAGCTCATCAAATGGAATGGTAGTAGCCTGCACCATTGTCCTTTCACTGCTCCATATGCCTTTCACCCTCTGCTGTATCCTTGCAATATATCAGCAGCACATCGGGAGAAGGTCGGGGCACTACAGTGTGCTCCTGTGCCCAGATCTCAGAATACAATCTAGCTCTGCTAGGTGAAAACCTTTAAGACTTACATGATAAGAAAGACATGCAAGGGAGGCTAATTATTTTGAAGAACACAAAACATACTTCAAGGCATGAGACTTTCTTTCTTGAAAGCCATCTCGAACTATGATCCAAGTTGCCTGGAATGCCTGTATCTCATCCTACAATCAACTAATATATTCACTAGGGGCTTCACTTAGCAATACACCACTATGTTCTGTGAAGCATCTGAAAATAGCAAATGGCTGGATAGGGACAATATAAATGTTCTAAGGGATGTCTCGTCCTCCTCAACTGGTGGAAAACCCTATTTTTATTGCCCGCATGTCCCCCAACAGCCGCACTCTCCATCCTCAAATGCTTTTGTCCCACAAGGGTCATGATACATTGTATGCAAATCGGTTGAGAAAACAAAATTTTCAGTTTTTCCCTTTTCAAACAATGGTCTACTCTCTACACTCCATTGTTGCCTAAGATGATATTCCAAAGGACTATTCTCTAATGAGTGAATCTTTTGTGCACCCTCAATAGCATCTCCAACCTTTGGTGTTAGTTCTGCACTCCTATAGGACCTGTCTCTACCTGGTCCTTGGTAGCAGGGTCGTTTTTAGGAACTGTCCATGTGTCATCCTGAATGATAATATTATGTACTGGGATGTGAGGTAATTCCCAATCCACGTGATGCCTCTTCAAAGTACATATCTTCCTACTATCTCAAACTCTGTCATGAGGAATAATTTCCCTTGGCCTAGCCTCATCAATACCACCCACTGATCCTCTAGCTAGAATAACAGATCATCGACATTCCTTTTCGAGCAATCGGTATTGCCAAGTTGAAGGATGATCCAAGCCTGGTTCCTCACACAAATCATAGTGGGATGAACATGGAAAGGACACAAGAATGGTTCACTCTCACTCCAGATCCCCAAGTATGCGAGTCCCATCGTCAAGAGTTGGTGACATCTCTTCAGGTGAGTAGGCGTCAAATTGGTATCCGATATTCATCAGAGACACAACGAGGTAAATAAGACTGAATCTAGAGAGAGCAGAGGATACAACATACCTTCCACAAAGTAATCCCAATCTACCTTGCTAGCTGATGGGGTCAGAAGGTCGTACCCATCAATGGATGGTCATGACCTTGAATGCCACACAATGTTGGTCATGTACATGGCAAAATACTTAGGACCATCTCTAGTAGGGCAAAAATCAAGGCACAGAGGGTGAAAACAAAATTGGGACAATGATGGGAAATAAATACATGGGAATCAAGTCCTAGAGATTTGCTGAGCAGTTAGTGCTCAAAGCAAATTGGGGCAATGAATCAAATCCTAGAGACTAGAAGTACGCTGAGCACTGATGGTTAGTTCTTGGAGAACCTATTTAAGATTGTAGAGCAGGGCATAGTGTGAAAAAGGAAAGACGTGATGGACATATGGGGCATAAAATATTGCATACGGAAGGAGCACTAAAATATTGTATACATCAGGAGCATTAATAAATATGACATATTTCATATGTTATATACCTGGAGGAATTAGCCTATACAACAGGCTGTCTAGCTTGTCCAAACAAGCTGTCAGAATTATGTATAAATCCATGCAATGTTCAAAAAAGTGTAGGTAGACGCCTAAACGTTTTGAGGGCCTGGCCGCCTAGACAGCTAGGCACCCACCCAGGAATACCCCACCCTCCCCCCCAATAGACAAAAAGGACAAAGGAGTTTTTGGAATATCAAAACATGTCACATTGTAGAAAAAAGGAATCAATTGTTCATAAAAGAATTCAATATAAGCCCAATTTCATCATCCAAATGAGGAAAAATTCAATTAATCACAAAAAATTAAAATTTTCAACTACAAACATCTAAATATATCATAAAAGGCAAAAAAGTAAAAGAAAAAGCAAATGATAACAAATGATTGACAACATAGTACGTTATAGCAAAAAAAATAAATCAAAATCGCTGTTCAAATATGATAATGCTGTAAAAATATAAAACTCTAAACGATGTCGGCCCAAACCTCGCCTATTGGGTAGGTAAAAGTCCTCAAAATCGATCATTAGAAGCTCCAAAAGCGAATTATTGCTTTTGATTTCAAAAGAAATTAAAAAAAAATGTCAGTCTTTCAATAAATCACAGATTTACAGTTTTTTGGGAGTTTTTATCTCTCTAGAAGGTATAGATTAGGTTGTGGGGGTTTAAAATTCCCCCTAATACCCCTTCCCCCCTTTTAGGCGGGTAAGGCGCCTAGACGCAAGCTACCAAGTATATCCAAGAAAACGAAAAAACAAAAAAATGGAAAATAAAAATCCATGTGTTTAAGATATTATCGATGTATATCTGATTATACACCTCTTTGTATTATTATAGACTTGTTTGGAAGTGTCTATAGTAAATCAGACTTCCCATCATAATAGGGACAATTTGATTTGGGGACCATCAATCTACCTTATATTCCTTCTAATCTTCAAATGCTATACATCTTCACCAAACCTATGACACGTGAAACACACAATTCCTTGATTAGCAAATTGATTGTTCCATCATCATCCACATCAATTTGAGAGGGAGAGTGGAAAAGAAAAGGCATGATGGACATATGGAGCTTTGATATATTGTATACATAAGAAGCATTAAGACTTTGTACACATGTCACTATTCTATACACCATACACCTGGATTTAACTTGTAGAATAGGCTGTCCAACCTGACCAAATTATGTTGTGAAAATCATGTATAATATGCATGAAAATCTATTAAAAAAAACCATGAGTAATATCCATGCATAACCAGATATTGTGAATGGGCCAAGAGTTGAGAGAGAGAGAGATAGAGAGAGAGAGAGAGAGAGAGAGAGAGAGAGAGAGAGAGAGAGAGAGAGAGAGAGAGAGTAGTAGTAGTAGTAGTAGTAGTAAGAAGTAAGTAGAGAGAGTAGTACGTAGTACGTACGTACGTACGTACGTACGTACGTACGTAGTACGTAGTACGTACGT